GGAGGGGAGGGGAGGGGAGGGGGAGGGGAGGAAGGAGGGGGAGATAAGAGAGAAGAGGAAAAGGAATCAGGGAAGTGAGTCCTTGAATTCAGACAGGTTTGAATTCTAATTCTGCACCTCATTAAGCTACTTACTGGAGTTGTATGTTAGTTGACTTTCTATTGCTGTGACAAAACATCATGACCAAAGGAACTTTTAGAAGAAAGAGTTTATTTGGGCTTATAGTTCCAGAGAGATAAGCATCCATCAGAGCAGGGAGTCGGGACAGCAGGCTGCAGTCATCCAGGCAGAAACAGCTGAGAGCTCACATCTCCAAACCTCAAGGAGAAGGCAGAGAGAAAGCGCAAACTCTACAATGATGCAAACCTTACCGGTCTCAAAGCCAGATTCCAGTGACACCTCCTCCAACAACCCACACCCCCTAAGTGGGTGGTGGCCGAGATGACTGGAGACATCTCCTCCAAGCCACCACAAACTGAGAGTGAGGAACATGGATTCCTTTTGCTGTTTCCATCTACCAAACCTCATTTTATCAGTGGCAAAGAAGGTTGATGTTTCACAGCCTTGGAAATAACAAATTTGAGACCACAGACTTATTAAGGAGTGTTAATTTTTAAAGCTAGTTGGTTCATCTGTCTGACCTCAGATTCCTCCCCTATAAAATGGGTCTGGTAAACTGCACCTCAGAGAGCTGACCTACACACAGAGCACCAAGCACAGTGTTGACATAGGAAAGACATTCAGTAAAGAGAGAGCCGGGGAAAAAAAATGTTTGCTGCTTAGACTCTATTTTTTTCTCCTAGAATTCTACTGACAGCTTATTATAAAGAATTCTTATATTTTCTACTGTTCTAATGAGTCCTTTTATTGAGAGTACATAGATGTCAGGGATCTTATCTTCTCATTATATGTAAACAACAGAAGCTTTTTTTAAAAACATAGAACGTTTTTAAAAATAGAATGTACCTCAACAAATCTCTAGCCTCAAAATTACTAATTTTTCTGACGGCAAAGAACAGAGATCATCATTTTGAAAATGAGTCCCTGTGAATAAACAGGAACTTCAGAAGTGAAGACGGGTTGCATGAGTCCAAGTCCACTTCTCATTCCACAATTCAGAATAGTGTCATCTTCACTCCAGGAATCCTAATAAATATTTGACCGTGGTGATGGTGACACATACATACATTCTAGAGGAAACATTTCCAAGTCATCTCTCATCCAGCCTTTCGGCCAGGGATGAGCTTTTGTCACTGCCATATCATCAGGCTGGCTTCACTCAAGACCCACTTACTGTCTGCAAATGTTGCTATAATTAAATCCAAGTGGCCGCTGTGAGTTATCATCATGAGCCCTCTCCAGCCATTAGCCACATTTCCAGGGCTGCCGCTCTTTCAAAAGAGGCCACTCACTCATCCGGCTATCCCAGCAGGCTTCTTTCCATTTCTTGGGCAAGGAACTTGCAAGCCAAACTCATTCTCAGGCAGTCTGCCAACCTTCCTATTTATCCCAGTGACCTCACAATGGTGAAACCAGGTCTTGACAGCCTTGCTGCTGAGCTGGGAGGGAAGGGAAGGGAAGAACTCAGAAACAAGGTCTCTGAGAACAGCAAAACCTGGCCTGTTTCTACCTGAGGAAAGGCAGCTGTCACCTGATCACCTCTGACATCAGACACTCTCTGAGTTTGGTTACAAACAATAATAAAATCTAGAGTATCTTTCACTTTTTTAAAAAAGCAAAGATAAACTTACCTGATTCATGGAATTGTAATTGAAAAACCTAGACTTCACTTTGAAACCCTGCTCCTCCTCCCAAGTTCTGGGATTAAGGTATGAGACACCACACCCAGCAAGTTTAGGCATTCTGGTACTATCTTCATCTTCCTGTCAGGCAGTGATGGTGCACACCTTTAATCCAGCACTCAGGAGGCAGAAGCAGGTGAATCTCTGAACTCAAGGCCAGCCTGGTCTACAAAGTGAGTTCTAGGACAGCCAGTACTACATAGAGAAACTCTGTCTTGGAAAAAAAAATCTTCACCTTCCTGGATATTTACAATAATCCTCCCAGCCAAAGAAAAGTGTAGAATCTTTGAGCTGTATCAGACTCATCTGTCCAGAGTCTCCTTTGCCTTGAGCCAGCATGGTCTACAGAGCGAGATCCAGGACAGGCACCAAAACTACACAGAGAAACCCTGTCTTGAAAAACCAGTGTGTGTGTGTGTGTGTGTGTGTGTGTGTGTGTGTGTGTGTGTGTGTGTGTGTGTGTGTGTAATCTGAGGGTTGACAGATGGCTCAGCACTTAAGAGCTCTTGTTGCTCTTGCACAGGACCCTGGTTCCATTCTCAGCACCCACATGATACTTAACAACTATCTGTAACTCTAGTTCCAAAGAATCCAATGCCTTTTTGTAACAGCTGTGAGCTCTACACATACATGGTACACAACCACATATGTATGCAGAACACCCAAGCATATAAAATAAAAATAAATAAATCTTTTTCTTTTTTTTAAGCAAGGACTCTGAGACCCCATGAAGGGAAGTGACCCCCAAAGACATGAAGTGAATGAATGGCAGAATGGGTCTAGCCCCAGATCCCTACCCAAATATCAATTCATGAAGTATATCCAGAAGATGAATAAATAACTAGTGTGGAAAAGCCTTCAGGCTCTCTAGATGAAGTCACCCATCACTACCTTATTTAATCAATGTGACTCACTTTATGTTGACCTTACTTCTCATACACAGGGATAAGAACATGTCCCAAGGGCCAGGAGAGATGGCTCAGCAGTTAAGAGCACTGGTTGCTCTTCCAGAGGACCTGGGTTGGATTCCTAGCATCCACCTAGCAACTCACAACCATCTGTAACTCTGGTTCCAGGGGATCCAACCCCTTCTTCTGGCTTCCACAGACAAGCAATGCACAGATATACATGTAGGTAACATGTCTCAGACCTGCATAATTATGATACACCTTCTTTCTGGCCACAATGAATTTAGGGACAATTATATGATCTAAGTGAGGTCAATGAGAATCTCTTCCAGGATCACTGCTAGGACATTTAAGAAATATTCTACTCTGAGTTCTCTGGTATTGTAAACAGTGGGGATTACTAAAAACCTTGGGTTGCCAGGGGTCACCTGTGCCACCTTGGAAAACTTTCTTACAATAAGTTCAACACAATAAATTGATCAAGCATCTAGATCCAACCACATTCAAAGGCCTAGGTTCCAATCATATTGATCAACTGTTTATTTAAGAGGTTATATTATCATTTGTAACCAAATATGTCTTGCCTAAAGTGGCAGCTCTGCATGATTCTTTTCAGCTATCAATGAAATTTGAAGGCTCCCTTGGTACAATTTAGCTTTCTATACAATCATCGACAACATGAGTACCCTCTCCCCTAAATGGTCGTGTTCCCTGCCTGGTCCTGAGCTCTGATCATTGTAGCTGGAGAATTTCTCTCCAGCTCCCTCCAAGTCCCGCCAGTCCCAGAACCCACTTATAAAATAAACACACAGACTCTTACATTATTTAAACTGCTTGGCCATTAGCTCAGGCCTATATTGTCTAGCTCTTACTCTTATATTTAGCCCGTTTCTATTAATCTTTACTTTGCCACGTGGCTCGTGGCTCACTGGTACTTTACATCTTCCTTGTCCTGGGGGCGGCTCCAGCTGGTCTCCTCTCTCTGCCTTCCTGTTCCCTCAATTCTCCTCTCTGTTAGTCCCGCCTATACTTCCTGTCTGGTTACCAGCCAATCAGTGTTTATTTATACAGAGGGATATCCACAGCAGATCATATTAATAAATTATTACCAAACACTGCTTTTTGTTTGTTTCTGAATACACTGCCATCAAATTCCTTGAAATCCCCACCAGGAAAAAAATGTATATGCAAATGAAACAAGAAGGCTTTTAGATTCTGATCTTCCTAACATAAAACAGTCTGAATGTCAGAATGTAAGTGTCTGATCCATTGTCCAATTGCCCTGGTCCACAACCCTCTTCCAAGTTAAGGGATCTTGCTAATGATGAGCATTCAGGTGGGAACTCATTACAACAGCCTGCTAAAAAGTCACAAAGCATCCCCTATGCACTACAAGGGGATACTCTGAAGACCATTATTGAGGCCACATAGAAAGATACTAGCAAACCAACACACTAGTAACATCTGCTTGGCCAGTTCCAGGAGGCCTGCCATCTACAAGACAGAAAAGATGTACAGAGAAGTTAATAAATGCTTCAAGAGTCACCAAGTGTTTATTTGGTGCTGTGATGTAGAAGGTGAAATTGAAACCAAACACAACAATAATTATAATAATTAGAATCGATGGCGCTGGTACAGAATTATGTGCTGAAAGACAAAGCACCCAGTTCCAGCATTCCACTGTTTAATGAATGTCTTCCTAAGGATTATGATTTGTGGATACTGACAAAGCAGAAGCTTGGCTGTCAAAACAACTCAAACAAGAAACCATCTTTTCCACTGTATAATATGCTTCTTTGTATGTATAGCAACATATCAAATACTAGTGAGCTCAAGGATTAATTATTTTTTAAATTTTGAATTTGAGCCAAAACTATTATTGATTAGATAGACAATTAATTTTTTTACATCATCTTTCACAGAAAACTGGTTGTGTGAGATATTCAAGAAAAAAAATGTGTGGACATGTATTTAGTCCTAGAAGTCATAACTACATCTATACATATATGTAGCTATATATACTTTGTGCTGACTAGTTTTATGTGAACTTGATCCAATGTAGAAGTACTTTGGAAGAGGGAACCTCAACTGAGAAAACGCCCCCACTGGACTGGCCGACAGACAAGCCTTTAGCACATTTTCTTGATTGGTGATTGGTATGGGAGGGCCAGCTCACTGTAGGCGGGGCCACACCTGGGCTGATGATCCTGAGTTGTCTAAGAAAGCAGGCTGAGCAAGCCAGTAAGCAGCATCCTCCATAGCCTCTGCATCACCTCCTGCCTCCATGTTCCCACCCTCACTTCCCACGGTGGTAAACTGTTACATGGGAGTGTAAGTGAAATAAAGACTTTCTCCCAAGTTACTTTTGTGTTCTGTGTTTTATCACAGAAACAGAAACCCTAACTAAGACATACATATGTATCATGTATCCTATATATCAGAAAGTCATATACAAATAAAAGAGTTTAGTATCAAAACACAAATGTATGTAGGCGAAAAACCAAGGGGTGTGAGACAGGGACCCACACCTAGGTTTTAACTAACTGCTCTGTATATTGTGATATGAAAGTTTCTTTCCTTATATAAATGGAGGACACAGACACCAATAAGTATGGTCCCTTTGTCCTTAAAGTTCTGTGATCTAAAGAAGAAAGTAGACAATAGTAATAAACACTAATGAAAAGTGTTCAGTTGTCAATTGCTGTATAACAAACTACTCTAAAACCCTGTGGCTTAAAGCAGAACCATTTTGGTATATACCACAGTTCTGAAGATCGGAAATTCAGGCTGAGTTCAGCTAGGCAGCTCTGTACCACATGGTGTAGATAGAGGCTACATGACATTCATTACACAGATAGGGTGCATCCTAGAGGGTTGAAAGTGGTTTACCATCATAGTGTATGCCTTGGTGGAAATATCTGAATTATGGGGCTCATTGAGGGCAGTTCATCTGAATGCCTGTACAAGCACTTTCTAGTACCAACAGTATCAGGGCCATCAGGCTTCTTGTTCAGTAGCTCAAGGCTACAAGAGAAAGGGAGGAGGACAGGAGCCACCAGGCTATTAAGGCCTCTGCCCAGAAATTCTCACATCATAATTTCTGCCATGTTCTATTGGTCTGGTAGCCATAGAATCTGCACAGATCCAAGGAGGGCCATACTGACCCCACATCTTCCTCACAGGAGCAGAATGTGTAAACATACCATGGTCTACCATAAATCTCTGTTATGACAAATGCCATGAAAGATGAGAATAGAGTGCCAAGAGAAGGACTAGGGGACACAGCTAATTTAGAACACTTGGGTAGGTGGCTGTCTACCCCTGTAGGACAAATAGTCATGAATCTAAAACGCAGCCCACCTCCATCAGACCACAAACACAACCTGTCTTCAGCATCATCTTTCCCAAGAAAAGAAACGTGTCTTTATGAATATTAAAAAAAAAATACAGCAAAGATGTTTTGCATTTTCTGAGCTCCCTAGAAAACAGGCAAATGCTTCAGAGCAACTGAATTCCTTCCATTCTCTGAGGAGCAAAATAAATTATATCCCAGAGAATTTATTTAATGACATGGAACAGCAAATTCCACTCTAAGATCAAATACAATATCTATAATAGTACAACAAAATAATAAGCAATCAAGCAGAAAACTTTGTTACTAAATATGAATTATTTGCTAAGAACAATTTGTCATCATAACGTATGAAGCATTAGGTGCTTTGAAATTGCCATAATTTGCC